AGAGACCAGTGGGACGACCGAGGACTAGGTGGCTAGACTACATAGAAAACCTCGGATCTTCACGCTTGGATCTACCCACCCAACAACTACGCCTGGTGGCGGAAGATCGTCCCCAGTGGAAGTCCGCCTTAGAGCGTCTGCCCCCACGACCCTAACGGACAGTGGGACAAGAAAATGGATGGATGCATGCATGCCAAACTGGAGAACATTCTGATGTTGGTCTACATCAGAATGTTCTCTAGTTTGGCATCCGAATACCCAAATGGATATGTAAGCAATTGAAGTAATATTGGAAGAGCAACTAAATTGAAGAAGCCAGTCAGAGAGAGGGAGAGAGAGAGCATTCCTGTCACGTAAATATTACAATCTCTTGACTTCGCCGCCATCGATGCGAAATCGACTCTAAAATACTACGAGAATGAATGGTCTGAGAAAAGTTTTTCACTGTCCTAAGATCCATTTCCACGACAAGAAAGCAATGACCAAAGGTGCATAAACTTAAGGTAGGAAAGCTATTGAGACAGGCTATGGGCTATTGGAGATTGGCTATTGCAATCATTTCAGGATTGTCCCAACTTAGCGGCAAACGTACACGTCCGTCAACTTCCACTTCAACTTCTCTTGACTTTTAACTATTTACTTGTAAGTTAAGATTCCATGTCTTTACGTTTATTAAATATTTAAAATGTACTGCTAAAATTTAGTGAAAATGCACTATAAAACCCCACCTCGCCTTGAAATGTGTCCAATCCATATGGGATGGATCCAGTGACCTATGTTCGTGCATGCCGCTTCTTTCGTTCTCTTAAAAGTTTCTCCCTCAGGATTTCGTCTCTAGCATTTATCTCTGCATGCGCAAAGGAGCCTCGCCACTGCGCAGTCTTCCCGGCTTGTTCACGTTTTCCAGCACCCAGTCAATGAGAAACAAACCAAGTTGAGTTTTACTGCTGCCACGCCTTATGGCGTCATCTCTGTGGCTGACGTGCAACGTAGAATTCAAGACAGCTGTAGGAGCATGTTTACAGAGCATCCTTCATACATGGACACGAGCTCTCCCTTAATACTGTACCCTGTTATCTGCTCGGCCCAGTAAGTAAGCGAATACACGATTGTTCCTCGGTCGATGCCTAATGTGCTTGTCTGTTGGCTACCACTGAAACATAGGTCATGCAATTCCCTCGCGGTTTTCATGTCGGTTTATTTGCTTCAGAAGCCGAGCACTTGCGTCGTCGTTCGTTAGCCCAACCCATCACTATCTTCGTGGTCGCAGTATTTCGTTTTCCTCTTCATTGTCTGCAAGGTAGACCTCTCAAGTCCGAAACATCCTGGTCTTTTCAGTGGCCTGACAGCTATTGGACAAGGTAACTTTTTTCCTAGTAGTCAGCTGTGTCTCCTCAATCCTCTGCCTATAAAGATCCTTTGCTGAATGCTTTTCTGGAAACCAATGATGCCTCATTCTGTCTGCCTGTCATTGTCTCCTCTGTCTTCGGGAAATACGAGGTACATATTAAAAAAAAATCGCTTAATTTAGTTTAAAATTGGTCTACGGATACGGATGGGCAAGACGTGGACTGGGATTGTTTTTTTTAGAAATTCATGCCCAAGCATAGGTTTTATCACGACTTTCCATGTTTGCACATGTTCAAGTCATGGTCTGGAAGGGAATGGATGTATTGAGGCGGGATCTGTCGCTGTCTCCACTGGCCATTCATTCACTACCTTCCGTTGCCGCAACGCTTTCAGCTTTTTTTCCCCCAGGAATCTTCTTTTTTTTTTAAATAGAGTGCGACTGGTCACCGAGATGGCTATGGTGAGATTTATTGTCTAGCTATCCACTATGATTAAATCTCTTCAGAAAAGTGAGGCAGCCTACGAGGTGCTCGGGATTCCTCACCGAGGAACAAAGAGATCTCACAGAGCCGTCTGAGTGACCAGCCGCATTCTATTAAAAATTAAAAAAATAGGATAAGGGGATGCCACAAAGCCATCTCAATAACTAGAGGCGCCCTATGGGGAAGTAATATTCACATAGATAGCACACAGACAAAAACCCAATCGAGAAATGAGTTGTGTTGCTGGAGATTCAAAATGCAAATATATACGAGGGCTATTGATGAGTGGCTATTGATGAAACTTGGATCCGTGATTTTGAACCAGAATTGAAGTCCCAATCAAACCAATAGAAAAGCCCAAATTCACCGAGGCCCAAGAAATGTCGACGCTCACAATCAAAAGTTAAGCAGTTAATGATCTTTGCTTACGACTGTCGCAGTGTGATTGTTACTGATTGTTTACCTGTGAAATCTAGTGTTACAGGAGCATATTACAGCCAATTCCTGCAGAAACTTCGAAGAAAAATGCACCAGAATCGCCCGGAACTCCACCAACAAGGGGTTCTCATCCTCCATGACAATGCCAGGCCACACGTTTGTAAGGTAGTGACTGATTTATTGGCCAAGTACTGTTGGGAAATTCTTCCTCACCCCCCTTACAGTCCTGATATGAGTCCTCCAGACTATGACCTGTTCCCAAAACTCAAAGAAGAGATGCGTGGTGTGCGTTTTGCAGATTTGAAAGAACTTTCTCGTGCCGTTACCCGACGCATTCGTCAACTTAACAAAGATGGCGCCTTATCTAGCATTCACAGCCTTCCACACCGTTGGGAGTCCTGCATTGCTAAGGAAGGAGAATATGTAGAAGGCCTATAGATATAGTCTGTTGGATTAATTGTCAATAAAAGAGAAAAAAAATTCTGTGCAGAATTTATGAAATGCCCCTCGTATTATGCATTAACAATAATCCATAGAGTTGTTGGATGTCAAATATTTAATCAATCCAATTTGGCTCATGATGAGAATGACTGACTTGAATGACTCATTTGATATCAATTTAGATAAAAATTTTGAAAAATGCTAAGTAGGTCTAAACATATATTTTTCATTCTGTATTATTCCAGAATTCTGTAGATGAGTCAGGTTCTTTTACAGTGTAACAGTTGCCTTGAAAAAAAGAATGGCAAAATGCAATATAGGTTTGAGTTGACTTATTTATTATTAATTGTTTGATTAATTTGTTAGAATTGCTGAATCATGCAGAATCTTGAGATTTTGACTAAAATAGGACTGAACCCTAAATGTGGACTGACTAGAATCTAAGTACTGACAGCCTTCATCCTATGAAAATGTAAGTGGCTGGAAATGATACTGATACTGGGTGATGGATTCATGACTTGGTTAAGTAGAAATCAGCTGTTGCAGGCTAAATTTTAGTTTATAGAAAAGAAAAGCAGCTTGTTGTGCAGTCATACAAGTTTGAGAAAAACTTTGAATTACTGCACAAGTAGAATTTAGTCAACTTATTCATGTAGAGATTAATGTTTTCCACCTGATGATGATAAGTGAGCAACAGATGAGCATCCACTACATTTTTAAATTTCTTTTGCAGCATCTGGCAGATCAGTATATAGATGATTTGCAGGATCTGCCAGTGATTTCTGGGCAGACCCTCATGGGCAAGGTGTTGCAAGTCAAGTCTGCATCAGAGGGTGGAAATCCACACATCAGCCTCACCACAAAACTATCGCGTGTGTCATCCCATCCTGAAGAGGTATGTTGATGAGATAATTTGAAGCAAGTAATAGAGAATTTTTGGTAATTTCCACTGTTTTTCCATAGTTTTCTAAACGCTATTTCTGGTTTGATATTTTATTGACTCAATACACTGTTGTATGCATCCAGGATGCTGTGAACTTGCTTGAATCCTACTTGGAAGAGGAGAAAAAGCTGTTGAACCTTCTTCTTGATGAGGGAGATCCATTGTTGAAGCTTGAAGTAGGTCAAGTTATCAAGGGAAAAGTGACAAAAGTTCTTCAGTCCAAGAAAAAACCTTCCAGTGTCAGAATCACACTTGATGGAGGTGTTCCAGCCGCTGCCACTCTTACATCCAATGACAGTGAGCTTCATTCTTTGGATGACCTTAATTGATTGCTGTCTGATAGAGTGATCCATTGAAGGAATAAGAATAGAAAAGTGCTACATTTCACCATTGTTGCTCAAGGAAACAATATAGTTGGAGAGGTCCTTTGAACAGCTCTTGTAGGGAGAGGATTAAAATCTCATAATGTCTTGGAAGAACCATATTTGATGGAAAATTCCTGCTTTCCTATGATGACAAGTTAAATTCAATATTGCCCATTGAAATTAATCCGTTTTTATTAATGTTGCAGTTTGGGACAGTAATGGAAAAGGACCTAGCATAATCTTACATCAAGTCCATCTTTTGATGGCTTATTAGCAACCTGGGAGCCACCAGGTTGCTTCGTCAACCCAGTTGCATCCAATCCATGTTTTAAAATTAGAGTTTTGAATTTCATTGGATAGCATTTTAAAGAATTCATAAAATGCAGAATGATATTGAAGTGAGAAGGGATGTCACTTCAAATATAATGATGATGCTGTTTTCAAGGCTGTTTGATGCATTGAAATAATAACTTTAAACCATGCCTACTGAAGCAAGATGTTGCTCAGGAGATATCCATGTAAGTCTTATGTACATTTTTTCAGGCTAAAATGTGTCAAACTATTTTAGTTAAAGAGCTGTAAACTAAATTAATAATTGTTTGGTACAGTCTTTGGTGGAGTGAAGATGAGTGGACTGGAGGCAATGAGCTAGCTACTGCAATCCTCCTTGCATATCACTATGTTGAAGTACTGTATTACTATTTTCATGAATCACTATGGGTGCCATCTAAGTATGCATGAATATTGGAATGGAATCATGGTAGGGTGGTGCATCTGAGATATTTAAAACTACTTGAAACAAGAGCATAAAGTGACATATATGATGAGAAATTTTCCAGGATGTATGACAACAGATTCTTCTAAGAATATGCTCCAACTGACATCTACTATCCATGTCAGACCAGTGCTATAGATAAAAAATGCATTGCATTCTAAAATACTTATTTGCCACGTTGCTAGACTGCAGTTTGTTTTGAAGAACTGCATTTTCATTCATAGACTGGGAAAAAGGTTGTAATTGTTGTTAGAGTAAGCTGTGGGAAAGATCAAATATTGATTCATCAGCAAAGGCATTGTTTTTTTTAGATGTGAGTGTTGGAGCAGATGTCACTTGCATTGTTGCATATTGTACACCACAGAAGAGGAGAGCCATTGTCTCAATATGCAAAGAAACACATATGAAGAAGAAACTCAACAAAGAGCAGACCATGAAATTAAAAGAAGAAGGCCTGATGTTCAAAATCATCCATATAGACAACGTGTTTGCCATTGCCCAATGGAAGGAAACAGCAGTCTTTCTTTTTGTTCCATTGAAGTATCATCTTTGTGACCTCATTCCTCATGAAACTGATTACAGAATTGGTGAAAACAAGAAACTGAAAAAAATCAAGTAAGTGTGCAAAGTTTGTATTGACCCTCTTGCAGGACAGGTTTAGTGAGACAATCTGCAGGACATTTAATTTAAATTTTCAGTGCCAAATGTAGGTCACTTTGGTTGCTGAGAGTTCTTTCATGAGGAGAGTTGTTCTGTGCACATCTCTTATAGCTGCAGATAGAAACATCTTCCAAAAGCATCTTCCTTATCAAAAAGGTATCATAGCCACATGAATGAGTTGCTGACATACATTGTGCCCAACTTGAAAAATCTTTTAACTTGAAAGCATGACCCACTGAATGGTCTGGTTTAGAGACAGCATCAACTTTTTATTTAATTTCGTTTGTTTTCCATGGCTAGGACTTCCCGTCACAAAGGAACTGGTAGTCTTGTAAAGCATCATTGTTCATATATTCTTTCCTTTTAGTATATAGTCTTCACACTGTTGTTGCCAGTTTCCACAAGTCTGTTACACAGATCTGAATTTGGTTGATTTTCACTTCCTGATTCTCAGTATTTCTGAGATTGATCTAAAGGTTTGATGTGATGCAGTGCTGGGGTTGAGAGGCTTCTTTTTGTGCATTGGACTGTAATAACTTTTTATTTCATGTGTAGGTCATTCATGACATCATTTCTCAAAGATACATGACTGTCAGAGTTATGGCAAGAAATTATTTTCAAGATGTGATATTATTTTCAAGTTTTTGCTGAATTACTAGGTTACCTGCATCAGATTCGCTTAACCCATTGACATAAAATTTAATCTAATAATAATAATCATCATTATTATGTTAAAAATTAACTTTTTACAACATGAGAAAAAATGGTCCCAAAACTATGAAAAAAGAGAAACCGCTAGTGCCTATGGAAATGCATGCTCCTGCCATCTAGCACAATTATTTTGAACTACATCACCATTGAACTCAAAAACAATGGCAGGAAAAACGATGACAAGTAGCCCTCATTTTTATAGGCCAATGGTTTAACTTTGAGTTGATGCAATTTAAGCATTGGCATCTATGGGAATGAGATCAACCCTGTTCCCTACTTATGAATTTATAAAATCAGGTCAGTCAAACCAATCTGGTACATTTCAGCCATAGTCTTGGTATAATAACATTTGGTGTATGATGTATGTGATTTACCTGAGATGCTGACATTTTGATGTAAAAGATTTTATTGATTCCACTTATGACCTATCAATGCTTTTGAATGTGTCACATTGAGCTGAAACACTTGTAAAGTGGTGATGGGTAATGAAGTTTCAACATAGCTGAATATTAGTTATGCCAGTATTTAAACACCACAAGTTAAAAACTGGGGACTTTATTTCCTGTGTTTTACATTGGAAAAACTTAATTTTAGTGTGGAGGTATTTATTTTAACCAATACCCTCAATACATCCTAGAACTTGTTTTTTTCCATCTCTTTTGACAGGTCAGGTACCGGACTGCCAATTGGAATACCTGTTGAAGGGTTGATGAAAACTAGGGAAACAGGCAAAAAGCACAGAGGAAAATCTCTGCAAATGGAAAAAGAAGAAAAAATAGACAGTGAGGAAATTCTAAAGGAACAAGATGTTTCTGTTTCTAAAAGTGAATCTCGATTAAGGAAGAAACGCAAAAGAATTGAGAGTGGTGGTGAAAATTCCGGGGAAACTGAGACTACACCAAGCAAGGAAGTAACTGTCAAGAACAGTTCATTGAGTGAAGATGTGTCAATTATGCTTGAGGAAGAAGACATTGATGAAGAAACACAAGCAAAGCAAGGGAAGCCCAGAGAAACACTGAAGGTCAATGAAGGATTCCAATGGGATGCCAGGATGAGTGATCTATTGGAGAAAGAAAATGCCATTCAGTCAAGTTCAGATGAAGAAGATACTGGTGCTGATGACCAGGTAAATCTATGCCTTGACGTTATGGTGACGTATGCTTATTTTCTTCAGGTCGAATATATGTATATTTTGGTATGGTCACAGAATGGAGAAGACGAAAAGAAGAAGAAAAAGAGGAGAAAAACTGAGGCTGAAGAGGAAGCAGAATTGAGGCAGATGGAGGAACTTCTCCTGGATGGGGGAAGAGCCCCCCAATCAGTTGATGACTTTGATCGTCTTCTTTTGGCATCCCCTAACAGTTCCCTATGCTGGCTCAAATACATGGCCTTTCACCTGCAGGTAAAACTCCCTCATGTTGAAAAGTTATGCTACTCTTAGATGTATTTCTCATTTTTCTCTTCCATTAATTCATTAATTTCAGTCATGCCTCCTCCAGGGACTCCTTAATTCACTTTGCTTAGGTGTTTTTAGATACAGAAGCTATTTCAATCACAATTGTATCTTCTTATGGTGCTTCTTCAGCATCTTTTTTTAAAACAAACTATGAACACTTCTTTCTCAAATAGCAGAATGATAGTCATGGATCTTGCAAAAATGAACTCAAAATGAGGTACATGATTGATATTGCTGAACTAGGACTTCTGAAGAAGCTGCCTGTAATGCATGTGTTTGCATTTGCATGTTTGCATCTCTTTATTCTATAGCCCTAGCTCCTTTTTTTTATCATGTCATAGCTGGTTAGATCATGCATGGAGCATTTATCATGCCATTTATTTTACAAAACTACATGGATTTCACACTTTGTAGCTCTAATTCCTTATTTTCATGACATTGATCACCCTTGTGCTAAATCACAAACATAATGAGGTTGTAGAAATAATTTTTTCAGGATTGTTGGAGTAGTTTTTAGTGATTCCCCAGAGAAGGCATCAGAACTTTTGTTTTAGCCCCAATTTCCTAAGGTGCTGAAAGGTGTAATGGAAGATAACAACATCTTGAGTCCTCTTCTCATTCCATTTGATATTCATGAATTTTTATCTAGTGTACTCTCACCTCCATCATTCTGTGAGAAGACTTTTAAAAAGAACCAAGTAAGAATCCCTTTTTATGGAGGGCAAATGGCCCAGCATGCTCCTCAATGCCTTTTATCTTGACAGTCCTTTCTTATGCACAGAGCTGTGATTTCTTACTTTAAGTGCATGGTCCAATGCGATTCTTGCTTTGTTTTGTACCAATAGGATTTCCAAGTCAACTTATTTTTACTTAAGTGTTTTTAGTTGAGCCATCTTTCCTGAAAGAAAAGGGACCACTTTTTGTCTTGTCCTTTCTGTGAAACTCTCCCTTTGGTTGCCCAGTGATTTAAAAAATATATCGGTCTGACTTATGGTAGATAAGGAAGAGAGACATGTTAAGTTGCTTTTTGATGGATTTGTACCAAAAAAATAATTTTTTATTGCAATTTTTCCATTTGAATGTGCTCACAGTGGGAAAGGCATGAGCAACCACCATCATTCTTGGATCTTGACCTCAAGGTGCATGTCTGTCACTCAGCTTGGGCTGGGATATCATGCCACCAGCAGGAGGTGTTACTTCCCTTCCAATCATTGTAGCAGATCGATCCATTTTTGACAAATGAAGGAAGAGGCATTACGTGGCAGTGGAGATGGGGTTGCCAACTCATCCATGCAATGCCATATCTAGTAATACCATATGTCATACTCCTTTCCTGTCTCCCAACCTACCTGCAACATCCTCCTCCTGTTCCCAACAGTTGTTGAAAGTGGCCTGCTGCTAGATTGGGCTTGCCCAGCTGGTTCTTTCTCCTTCTGCTTCTAAAGCTCCCAGAGACTATAGGTCAGAGATGCCCCAAAGGCTAGGTCTGCTGGCTGCATGCAGCACACAAAGGGCCTTAGTGAACATCCACTTAACTCCTGCTACAGGATAAATACTCTAAAATCCCAGATTTTCGTCCTTTGAATAGTCACAATGGCCAATGCTCAAAATGTATGGGAAAAGTATATGTATTTTTTTAACATAATGCCTAACCCATTTGAATTTTACATATTATGATGGTGAAGAAAGTACTCTGTTACTGGATTCACTGGATCATGGGAGCACTTATGCATGTGAAATGCAAAGTGAATTTGGTTAATGCAAGCTAACTTGCTGGATTAGAAAATTTTCTATGTCCGTAGTTATCAAGAGGAATTATTCTTCATCTTAGACAGCTATGTTCATTATTCACTGTATGGACACTGTTAAACCATTGCTTCCTGATGCTGAAGGGGTTAACACATTAATGCAACTTTTCAGCCTTTGTGTAGAAATTGCATCTTTTACATCTTTCACAGGCTTGGAAATTGACAGTGCATTTGATTCATTGTTTGGAATATTTTTTTCCACAGGCTGGAGAGATTGATAAAGCACGGGTTGTGGGAAGAAGAGCTCTCCGCACGATTGCCTTCCGTGAAGAAGGGGAAAAACTAAATGTATGGGTAGCCCTACTGAATATTGAAAATCTCTATGGGACACAGGTTAGTGTTGACTCAAGTTCAGAGGGAACCTGATATTATGGACTTAGCATAGTTTGTAGTAGCTGCCATTTTAGGTTAGTTCTACATATCAAGCAATCTTCTAATTTTCCTGTAGCAATTCTTGAACTTAGAGCTACCATTGAGTCAACAAATTTCACAACATACCAGAAAATTTGAAAATTGTCTACAAATACAAATCTATGAACTGGTGAACTCCCCCTTCCCCTTTATCTTTGCTAATAAAACTGCAACTTCAGTATCAGAAAATTCTATGCCATATTGAGGTTGTATTACACATTTTCTTGAAAATTCAGGACTCGTCTATTATAATTCAAAGGTCTCTCTCTCTGTAGTCTCCCTAATTATTCTATATATGTTGAAATTGGACAGAAGTTTGAAATTTTGCACTCAGAGTGCAATTCCTAACATTCACTTTTATAAATCATCATAACCAGTGGCATAGCAAGCAGGACTGGAGGAAGCTGTGGCCCCTCAACTTTGGTTCTAGCCCCTCAGCTCTGATCTAAAAACAGATATTGTGAACTGTGAAGTACCTTTTTGTGTGGGTGAAAAGGAACCTGAGTTCCTAGTACAGCAGTAAAGAAAGGAAATGTGCCACCAAACTTTCTCAGCATCCACCACCCCAGTGAAAATAATTTCTGACATTACCAGTGGCAGAAGGTCTGCAAAGATTTCAGCTCTTCACTCTGTTTCTCCTAGCTCCTCCTATGATGAAACCCAGGCTGTCCCACTGCTCATAGCCAGTTGTCTTTTTGCCCCATTCTTGCATCCAAGAGAGATTTTGTTTTACTTGTATCCACCTGAACTTTAAAAATAGAGGCCACTTCAGCATCATCAGCATTTTGATAACATTAGCCTAATTTAAATACAAGTTTCATCAATAGAAGCTAAAGACCTAAGACTGATCCTTCAGGAACCCTATTTGAGATTGAGCAGAGAATAAAAACTTTTTGTTAATTGCAAATATTTGACTTACATTACTCAGCCATGCCTCTATCCATTACAAGATCTTGCTCTGAATCCCCTAGCATGATGACTTTAGAAGACCTTGTGCCATTAATATAATGCTCATGGAAAGGAAGTTGCAAGAAATGTAAATATTAGTGAGCTTAAAAATATATAATCATGGATAAATTTCCCATGTATGAGACTCATGCTGTTTTCTGATGTCAACAGTTCATATCCACCTAGATGGGTATTGGATGAGGGCCTGGCCATGATGAAAACTTTTATTATAGCTAATGGCTTCTTTGTAATGCTTACATTGAATGCATGTCACAATCCATTCTGTCAATGCTCTTATGGATGTAATAAGGTATATTTATGTGATGACATGTTTGAGTTCTTTTGATAGGAGACTCTGACCGAAACATTCCAAGAAGCTGTTCGGTTGAATGACCCTCTCCAAGTCCACGAGAAGATGGTATCTATCTTTGTAAGCAGTGGAAAACAAGATGTGAGTGTTTCTTTTTCATTTTGGTCACCCAATTTCTACTTTTGGGTTCTCACTTCTTCTTTCCCATAAACATTGGAATGAATTGAATGTGTAAGTACTTCTGTCTCCATTGTTATTCTCTCAAATAGGTCCCAGAAGGATGTATTTTAGAATGAGTGAATGTAAGCTTACTGCATGAACAATGGAGTGTTATTGATTTTTTTTGCTGCAGCAAGCAGAGGAACTCTACAAGAAGATGCTGAAACGCTTCCGGGACAACAAATCCATTTGGATCTCTTGTGGAGAGTTTTATATGAAGAATGGGAAATGGGAAAATGCCAGAGGGACAATGCAGAAAGCTTTGAAGAGCCTCCCTAAATCCCATCGTAGGTTCACCCATCACTGACTAGGTGGTGTTTTTGGAATTCATAAAAATGATTTTCTAACTTCAGAGATTTGTTGTTTTTTGGCTTGGTAGATGTGGAAGTGATCAGTAAATTTGCCTTAATGGAGATGAGAAATGGGGAAGCTGAGAGAGGAAAGACGCTCTTTGAAACTCTTCTTACCACCTACCCATCTAGAGTTGATATCTGGTCCATATATGTGGATGGCCTGGTGAAACTTCAAGACATCAAGTCTGCTCGGTGAGAAAATCAAAGGAGTTTTCCATATATTTGATTCATACCATGGCAGGAGATTTTTCTGTTTATATTGGAAATATGTTATAAAAATAAGAGAAGTAGACAGAGTAGGACTCTTCAGAACAGAAATCATGCATGAATGGGGCAAACTGATCTAAGCTTCATCCACATGTCAGGAGCAGTTTCACATGTGCTGCCCATGACTGTGGGGCATGTAATAAGGACCAGCAACATACTCTGCTATCACCAGGCTCAGTGACTGAGTAGTTCTGGCTTCAGAGTGAAACCCAGGAAATGAAGGATCGAGTCTGAGTGGCAGCAGGCTCTTACTCTGCCAACAGGTGACCCATCTGCTTTCATGGGTAGTGTTTGCTTAGCATGGAATAATACACACATCACTCAGCTTGCCATGTCTAGGAGACACGGGTGCAATACACCTTAACCCTTATACGCTCAGCGCACCGATCCGTCGGCTCCGTCTAAATCATGCTCTTTTAGTTGCATAAATGGCTCAAAGGTTGTTTTTGTTGTTTATTTACATAAATGGCTCAAAATGGTTCCCTAAACACAGGTGCTAACTGCAAAAGGTACGTATGCATTGTTTTACATAATGTGATGTAGTTCCAGACAGGAGAGTGTTTTAGGCCAAGTACTTGGAAAATAGGCTGAGTGCGAAAGGGTTAAAAACCTTTTATGCCAGTCATGGGCTTAGGCAACCTATGAGCTGCCTTTCAGACCTCCTATAGGGCCATGGAGGGGCATCCCTGCCTGAGGGACTGCCATTTGAATGTAGTGCCTGTGCCAAGTGGATGCTCCCTTCTTCTCTATGTTCTGTAGTACATCTTTTGTCATTCATGTCAGCCACATGTCCTGTCATTTTCAACAAAAAAAACTTACTCTGCCATCTGTCAAGTTTGGCAAACAGATTGGCTCTGTTATGTCATGAAAGTGGTTCTGCTGACAACTTATCTCTTTTTCAGTAATCCATATAGTATCAGTCATCCAGTTAGCAGAGGGATAAGGTCTATTAGTTGGAAATGAAGATTGTGGTGTCAGTTTGTAGACAAATGTTTCAGGGTTACCTCTCTCCCACTACCTTGAGGTATGGATCTCATTTTACACTTGGAATTATCAATCAGGTATGGGATGGAGTTTAGAATGAGTATTATGTATGGATGTTAGAAAAATTAATCCTTAATGGGGAACAGTATAATGACATGGTGTGAAAATGCTTTCATAGAATCAATCCCACTTCCTCACTCACTCATGCATGGTACTCTTTTGCAATTTGAAAATTATATCCCATCATGCTTTATTTCTCTGGCCTTTTCTTAACCAATTGCAGGTTCTTGAAACTATCTGCAAAAATACCTGGAATCTTGCCTACTTGGTTTTTTTTTTTTTGTTTCTTGCTATACATTTCGTTGAATAAGTAATTTCAAAAGGTTTCTTCTCAGAGTTCTATCGTCTTTGCATAGTCATTTTCTATATTATTGACTTTCTTATTTTTCTTTTTCTCAAAATATTCATTCATATGGCAATATTGAAGTTGGAGGTTTTCAATGTTCACTCAATTTCCTGTGGTGTCTTGATCCTCTTCTACATTGTATTTTTATTAGGTTAGTGTTACACTTTTCATCAGTATTTTCCTCTACTTTTATTGCTATATATGAATTTATCAAGGAGGAAATGCTCTGAGCGTTTGGCACATGCACTTCCTAGCTACATTCCTTTTCAGTATCATTTTTTGGTGCAACATATCAAGTGCAGTACCTTTATAAAGCATTTCTTGTGTTGTAAAGTTGCTGTTGTTATAAAGCATTTCTTGTGTTCTTGTTTCTCCATGGGAAACTTCATATTAAACCTCTTTGGGTGACGTTTGGGTCTTTTAATGGTAAATTTTAAATGTTCTAGATTATGCAAAAAAATTCTAAAATGAAAAAAATTTTAATAAGTGATTTTTCTGCAGGTGTTCTGCTGATAACATCTATTTTCTTAATGAATATAGGGCTGCATTGGAGAAGGCAATATCACAGTCACTGCCTCCAAAAAAGATGCGATGTCTTTTCAAGAAATATGTGGCTTTTGAAGAATTGCATGGAACTTCAGCTGATTTGAGCAGAGTCCGAGAATCTGCAAGACAGTATTTGGCCCGCATCACCAATATCAGCATGGAGTGAATCCCTTGCTGTTTTTTTCCTCTTGCATGATGTTGGTCATTTTTTCCTAAGGAAAAACACCAGAGGAATGAAGTTGTTTGCATTTGACTTGTTCACCTATCCCATTTAATGGTTATCATCTATTGATTGATGGAATCAGTTAAAGTTGAAGGATGTTAAAGGATGAAGTTGATTTAATCCCCCTTGTGTTTTCTTGTTTCATGCTTGCAAATATGGCTTGCATCCAACCACAACCTTCTGCCCTTTCTTCGGTATTAAATTTTCTTATGGACTTGATGGGATCTGTTCACCTGTTCTGAGACAAAAATGTCAGTGAAAAGAGACTAACAGAGGGAAAAGTGTGAGAAAAAGAGTGAACATTTTCTTCAGTACTCTTACATTGTAATTGGGATGGTTTGCTTTTGCACTGTTCCTGCCTCTTTAGAAATTCTTTGATGGTTTGCATATGGTCAGGACAAATTGCAGTTTCATCTCAATAACATCCTTCACTTCGGCAATACACAACAGGACGATTCTGAATGCCAGCAAAATCAAATGCAAGCTGTTCACCTATCCAAGTCAAAATTTAAAGATGAATGCCTCACTGTCATGGCAAATGCCTTAGCTGTTGAGTGTATTAGCCTCAACTCACCTATAGCACCCACTGCTTGAAGTTCTCCCATCTACCTCATCATATGCTAATTCTTGTATCAGCCATTTCTTAGTCAATATTCTCATTATGCCACATTTGTGGTATTGCCTCCCAGTCTTTGCGAACTGTTTCCAGTCATCTGTATAAATGCAGTCTCAACGTAAATAATTAAAAAATCTCTACAAATGATCATTATTAGTGTTCAGTATGTTCACTGATCTCCATTGTTTAAACTATCTGACTGGTTCATACTGGACATGAAAGACCTCTCATGAGACGCACCCAATAGACAAAATTTTTTTTACTTCAATCACAGTATCAGCTCAATATCATCAGCATCATTTGTTTCCTGACTTTCAAAAACATAAACAAAGACTGTATGAGAGCACCTTTTCACTACAAACAGACACAACTGAATATTCTAATGATTGAAAGCCAAGGAGTTCATGGACAGATCAATCAGAATCTTGCCGAGGAGGTGATCGATAATGACGCTTGGTAATACTTTGGGTGAGTTTGCGGAAAGTCACTTGGTGGTCACTAGAGGTGGACTCACTGTCACAAGTGGAGGAAGCAGCTGTACATGTGCCATTTGCCATCCCACCATTTGGACTTGATAACTTGACTGTACTTTCTTTGAAAAGATTCCCTCTTTTACCTTCCTTGGTGTCCTCAAACTGACCTGCAATCCAAGCAAATGATGACTTATTGAAAATGCATCAGGTTCAATAAACATGGAATAATTACACTGTAAAGATGATTGCTTAGGACAGTAACATTGCTTAGTAAAATACAGATGGGTTAAGTGTTTCCAGAAGAATAAAAGAACTTTGCTGAACTTTCAACACCAGCCTTCACTGAGTTACACAGGGGAAAACTCATGAGGGGTAGAAAAAGAGATGATGAATAATAAGACAGGACTTTGGAGTGGAATGAGATGGATTTATGGTACTCACATGTACCATATATTGCCATAAATATTCCTGCCTGCTCCCCTATTCAGGGTAGCCATGAACTGGAACTTTTCATTACTCCGAAGTCCTACCAGTAGACATGAAGAAACCCAAAAGGGAAAGAAGTAGCTGTAGTCATTTAGGTGTTGGTGTAATTAAATAATTTACACCAACACCTAAGTAACTACAACCTAGCAACAACAGAAATGGAGTAATACAGCCCTGATAAAAAATAACAGCTGGTTTATCAGGAACGGAGCAAGATTAGCGGTTGTGGTTAAGTGTGCAAACAGAACACATAACCACAACCGCTAATCTTGCTCCGTTCCTCAGATAGACCCATTCAGTTATTTTTTATCACTATCATTTCCTTTATCCTTACCATCACTACTCAATGTAATTGAAGTAGTTCCATCAGGCTTAGTGAATGATATACTTCTAGAATGTCACATTTCTGAGTACCACTGTACAGTAATTTAAGAATTTGGAATTGAGAATAAAGAGGCACCTACTGGTATTGGCTCCGCAGTTGTGGGAGGCCTTTCCCTTCTTGGAGGCAGGTTCAAGAATGTCACTGTCATAATGCTCTTTGGATGTAGAAGGTCCATCATATCCAGCTCCTGCTCCTCCTGCTGGTAATGGAGATCCTCCTCTCCTCACTCTCTGGAACTTCATGGAACGGACATCAAATCGCATCTCTGCTTCCTCCAAGTCATACTGACGTTGACTCTCTTGAGCTTGCTTGCATCCTGCTTGGAAGCGTAAGGGACCCTTGGAGCGGCCAAAGCGCCAAAAACTTCTTCGCTGAGCTCCAGATCCACCTTTCATCAAAGAAATACATTCATTCATGATAGGATTCTCTGAGACAAGCTCACAAGAACAGAACCCATCTCACTAGAGGAAGATGCAGGAGAGCCATCAACAGAAGTTAACTCGGTAGGGAGAGGGCTTGTACTAGCTGCAGATGGGGTAGCTGTGCTGGGAGATGATGTTTGGGGATTTCTCCCAGGTGAAAGATTGGCCAGAGTGTTCCGTGCCTTCCCAAAGAATGACCGCAAGAATGCCAAGGACTCAGGGGATGGCTCTCGACGGGGGCGAAGTGCTACCTCCTCAGTCCCTCTTTCTGGCATTTCCTCTTCCTCTGCTCATTAGCATACCAACATTGATCCATCTGACTTATTGCTAGTGTACCAAGTCAGGCCTAAACACTGAATCCTACACAATCATAATGATGGCACAAACGCACCAGATGACTCAGAGGATGAAGAGGATGAGGATTGGGAGTCTGATTCAACTGGGATGGAGGAAGCAAAGGAATGAACACTTGAATTGGAGTCATCTGAGCTCCATCCATTCAGCTCTCGATGAAGGAGGGCATCAAAGAATGCCATCATGCGTGGATCTTCCTCTTTTGACTGATCACTGTAATCATGACTCAGAAGCTAGACAAAGAAAATAATTTAATATCATTGCTTTAGTAGGTGATGCTATGAAGAACTAGTTCAGCTGGAAGAGAGTGAGACAGTTTTATTGCTATGACTACTAACCATTCTCCACAGATAAGCACCATGAGACTCCAAGAATAAAGAGCTTCAAACAGTATAAATATCTGGTAGATGTAGATCTTCAGAGTAATAAAGCCAATTAGCTGTCATTTCTTAAAATAAACTTTTCATTCAGCATAAATGAAAACCACATCAGGTCCAAGGTCTTCATTATAAGAAAAATGGTCTGCTTTAGTTTCAATTCATGGCAATGACGATGAATGACAAAGCAATTAAATTTGATAAGTGCCATCAAGACTCACCTGGCCAGTGCGAAGAACAAGCTGAATGTATTCATTACGAGAGCAGAGTTGTCTCTCTTTATCCTCAGTGGGACAATCCTTTCTTAGCCCCCCACTGGAATATGGGATCTCAAAAGGGCTCCATAGCTGTCAAACAAACCAGGTAGGTCCATGCCTTATTCTATGCATTCTCTAACCAATATAAAACCCAAATGCAGCTATGACCCACCTTGATGATCTTTTCTACACCACATGAGGCCAGGAGGCACGAATAAGGCTCATAACGGACCTGATTCACAATGGATCGGTGACCCTTCAACACCAAACTGGCACCATCCACTCTCTCACCATCTGTTACACAACATTAAAAAAAAAAATTTTTTTCAAATCTGCAAGTGAAACAATGATCCCCATATGACAATCATACTCACTATCAGATCGTGACTGTGGGATCTCCCAGATGTACACCTTGAAATCATCTGACCCTGATATCACAAATCTATCATTGGGGCCACCAAAAGTGCAACTCTTCATTGTGCACTCATTGACATACCCAGGCTGATAGAATTCATAGAGAGGCTCTTCTTGCCCAACAGCAAAAACAATGGGACTGAGGCTTCTACGAAGAGCAAGGAGGAGGGTGCCAGCATCATTCCACCGCACATTCATCGCTGATTCACCAACCCTCTTTCCATATTTCCGGAGACATCTTTTGAGAACATATCCATATGTCAATAGTGATGATTGGGTCCCAATCCTTGCAAAGTATTCTAGAGAAGTCAACTCACATGCGAGGACTGCGGACATCATACAGATTCACGCCATAACCAACATTGGCTGTAGCAACCAGGTTTGGTTGACAGGGGTTGAACATCACAGCATGGAAAGGAGCTGGGTGCTTTGCCAAGCACACAGGATCTATTTTCATTGAAAAATTTTCACTCTGACACTGAGTAAGATATGAGGTTGAAATTCATTTTCTTAGTAGTGGCTCACCTTCAGAGGGAGGAGCACGAATGTCATACAAAAGCACACTACCATTGTGGACAGCAGTTGTGAAGCAATTATCATCTTGTGGATGGACTGAGATTCCATAAATGGCATCTTGGTCTCGAAAAACATCTACAGGTTCCCCTCTACCAGAAAACAAAGAGCAGGCACATGCTTTAATCCCAGGGGAAGAACAGAGACTCCAGTGGCTTTCTAGTGAGGCTGACTTACGTTTCTACATCATGAATGATGATAGTCTGATCGTTTCCTGCAGGGAAAACATTCCATTAAATGGACAGCTTCATCAAATTTGAAGCAATCAGGACTTCCCCAAAGGCAAAGACTCCCAGGGCATTGGCATGGTTAAGTTAGATTTTATGGGCATACAAGTTTACTGATCCCTAATAAAGGAAACTGATCAAAATGTTCACCCAACTGCTGATATTCATAAAAACTCAACATCTCCTATGAAAGATAATGAAAAGTTAGAGCTATTTTTTATTGTTAGAAGTGACATTCTTTCATGATTGCAGTTAGTGTAATTATTCAGAAATAAAAATATATTTTCTTGAAAATTAAACTAAACCTAAATGGAATAATAAATAAATTGTAACTCTTATGCAGGTCTTTGGGGCTAGGCTCAAACTAAGAATTCCATATTGTGACCAGTGAGGAACCAAAATTTCAGTCATCATCTTTCATACTAGTAAATATTGTAACACTCAGTATTTTATTACAACATAGCAATAGATCCTGCAGAGAGGGGTCGATATTCCATGATGGAAAATTCTATTGTTGTCAATTGCTGTATCAGGGCTATAAGAAGAAAATGAGTATTTGGCTTCTTTATAACATTGACTTAACTTCTGTGAAGGATAGGCTACTCTGTACCCCACAGTTTACTAAAAACATCTAGACTCAAGGAAGACATTCATGATGAACTTTGCAATTAACAGGTTGACCACTACAAGGCACACAGGTGAGCCTCACTGAATGGGAAAATCAATAGGCCAGCAATGCCGTGATGGTCAGCATGTTAAACTTGCTAAATGTGAATATGACTAGCTATACCATTATAGCTCATTTTCACCATTACAATTGGCCCATTCATGTTGTTCATGTTCAAGCAGTTGACATGCAGAATGGCAATTTCTTAATCAGATTCTCTAAACTTGTTTATGAAATATTCCATCCATGTGTTATGTTCCAAGTCCACTCAATTACTTCCCACCCTATATGTTGTAACCACACATGTACCCCTACTGGATCTTACATCTTGAAGAGACAAAGCTTTTCAGCTTTAGCAGCATCACTGCTTCAACTTACCACCAGAAAAAATCTTCTCATGCCGACTGTCAAAATCAAGCGTGAAGATATTGGAATTGTGCTTGGTCTTCATGACTGCAGGCTGGATGTCATTGGGATTCCCATGAAGAGTACGACCCACATCCCAGAGTAGTACTCGTGCATCATCTCCGCCTGTTTCACAAGATTGAAAACCATTCATTACTATCAATAATGTAAATAAGGCCTGCAATGCCTGTGCCTGCAAGGCACAGAGAGAGACTGACCAGACATTAGGCATTTGCCATCTTTGGAGAACTGGAGTGCATTGACGCAACCAAAGTGAGCATGCAGGTTCTTGCGATACAAGTTCTCAGCCCCTCTGAATCTTGACAGAAGGAAATTCTCATTCTCAGCCTTGGGATTCTTCTTATGGGATAGGTATTCCCTCTCAGTCAATGCCACCACAGGGTGACAATTGGTGCTCCAAGTGCCAGCACTCAAATTCACAGACCTCTTAGGCATTGTCATACTGATAACTAAGAGGACTTGAAGAGTGTGTTGTGCTGCTGCTTACCAATCCAGACTCAACTCAGAAACCCTGCAACAGAATAGGCCCAGATCAATTTAGCATCGGTTCTTGTAGAGTCTACAATGAGCCCATGATTGGTTTACTAAGGGAAAAAATAATAATAAAATAAGATTGTGTCATTCTATTCCCAAAGGCTGTGGGATTCATATATTTGAGATCTGAATGAGATTTTACTTGCAGAGTGCTCTTACTGAAACATGAACCACCAATTTGTTCTGCACTGGTTTTTCTTTGTTATTTTGAGGTAGGGATGAACCGATACCGATCCAAAGTATCGGTATCGGCCGATACCTATACAGCCGATCCGATCCGATTCTCCCTTGCCGCACGCCGTACATTCTTAATGCGCAGCGCGTAAATTTTGGAACGTCTGATGGAAAAAACCACACTTGTAATGGCATTCTGTTCCTCATGTCTGTCATAGTTCTTTTTAATCTCCAACTGATAGACAATGAGCTTGAGCATGGTTAAAGTGGAATGCGAGAGATTTGAGAAGGGCATTGTACGAATGGAATGGGCCAGTGTCATTCGCGTACGCATTCATTCCTTCACTTTCCTACCTTCCGTCCCGTCTCCAGCCTTCCTGCGCTGACTGGTTGGCGCAGGCGCACTTTGTGCTCACGTCCATCCCACCTCCGGCTCTCCCCTCGAGCACCGATCCCGGTTGTACAGTAGTTGCAGCAACCCCTTAATCCCTTAAGGACATTAGATGTACAGTGAAAACTCGTTAACTCGAATCCTGCTAAGTCGAAATTCCGCTTATCTCGAAGTTCAATGCTTGGTCCCGGCGGAACCCCGTAGGACACCATGTTAAATGCTCCGTTTAACTCGAATTCGCTTATCTCGAATTTCCGGATATCTCCAATGAAATTTTCACTCCCGATGACAAATTTCTCACGGTTAACTCGAATTCAGGGTGAGGTGGGTAAAAATTATTATTGTGGGACTTTCTGATTTTTGAATTGGATGAATGACAACAAATACGTTCGGATGTTCTTTTGTTTCTTTTTTCTTTTTTTTTCTGCTTCTCCCTCCTCCCGCACAGACGCCTGTGGAGGGGATTAAACCTGAGGATAAAAACCGAAAAGTTTCGGCTATAAAAAGCAACCTCCAACATTCGCTCTATCTATCGCTCTCACTCCGAGCCATTCTAGTCATATTCTACTTCCTTTACGCCATTTGTGCGGAATGAGCTCATTCAAGAAGAAATTGAAGACTGACGCTCGAAGAAAAGGTGCACTTGACTCGGACTGTCGAAGAAGGCCAGTTGAAGAAGAAAGACATTGCAGAGAATTTCAGGATTCCTCCCTCTACTCTCTCTACCATTATACGCAGCAAAGATTAGGTTTTGAGTGCACATTAGAAGCGCCTATTTACAGCAAGTTGCAAGACGATGAAGACAACCAAGCGTGGACGTGGACGCGGCTCTCCTGAGTTCACACAGTGCCGTCGACTTGTTCGAGGCAGTAGGGAAATTAGAGAACTTCCTCTGCAAAGTGACACTAAGAATGTGACATGAAATGCATGACATCTTTAAAGCAATCAGAGCTGCTGTAATGTTAAGCTCATTTGAAACTCTTGAAGTGCTTTTAAATTTTGTTAGAGTTACTAAAATTACCCACAATGCAAAAATAGGGGATGTCCTCAGGAGTAAATTCTTATGACCATTTGTCTCACTTTGCTCTAAAACCTAATTTCTTTTTATATTACTTGTTCACATGCAAAGTGCCTCTCCTGTTCAATAAATAAATACCATTTCAGGATGATATCTTCCAAAGTTCTTATTACAAGTGCCTTGAATGTAAACATCATAATTTTCAAAGGCCTACACTGCATGAGAAGTATAAAGCCCACAAAGCAGCAATATTCAACCTTATCTGGCAAGGCATAAATTCAAAGTCAGGGAACTAGCAAGGTACAGTGCATGAACATGAGAAGTTTAGAAGAGAAATTTGGCCTGGGATTATCACTTGCACAACATGATCAATGGGGTTTCCTTGTATCATAAAATGCCTCAATGCTGATTGGCATTGCCAAATAAATCTCATTGTCTTGAAAAACAATACACTGGCAAATAATGACAAAGGCTATGCTAAAGAGCTGGGGCAACAAATCGCTGGCATGTGTACAGCAGAATAGATAAAGAATGATGACCCTCCTTCACCAATAAAGCAATTCCTTTTGCAAGCATATACATGTCAAAACCAGTAGGCATAACTCAACAATCATGCTATGTTTGTTGACTTGCATGATGGCTAGACCATGATCAAAATCCTCTCCATTACTTAAGATAACATGGCAGAGAAATCAGGCATGGAGTGGAGTTCACCCAAAAGTTTTGAAGAGCCAATTACAAAATCTTGAAACTTGATGTTAGAAACACAAACCACCTGGTTCTTGTTTCAAGTTTTACTTGAAATATCCATACATAAAAAGCTTCATTCCATGTCAACTTGGGTAATGGATAGACACATAAAAAAATATTGTACTTGAACAGTCCAAACGTATCAGCATGACTTTAGGAAGGCCTACAGTGAATTATTGTACTGTAGATCCTACACGGCATGGATGATACAGGTGAAAGGATATCACTTGCTCCACATGAAAGGTCTTTAAATTTGCATGTTAAAAAAAAATCAATCTAGCTGCCTCCAGGCTCCAGACAATAGGCCTGCATCAGCAAAAACCACTAACTACAGCAAAGGTTCATTCTAAATGAAAGTTTTTAAGTCTCTATGGAGAAAACTCTTGGACTTTGTTGGCTCTCAGCAGTTCCAGAAAGCTGTGATGTAAACATCCAACATGCTGCAACGTGACTTTTGCCTCACTCACAAAAAAGTGTACTTGGAATGAATATGTCAAGATATGTGCATTTGTGCTTTTAACCCTTTCACAGTTTGCCCAAGTACACATTCAGGCTTGTGTATTGGCAGCCTGTGTATGTCCTACAGATAGTGACTTGAGCATCGTCATGTCTACATGCACAGAAAGCTCTGCACTAGGCTCCTCTAGGAACCAAAGGTGTGAACCTCGTCCAGCTAATGGACTGTGCAGGAGCGGTGCATGTAGGACAGACTTAAGCTGTGGAAGCTTTTTGTTACTCCTGTTGCGGCAGCCACTGTCCTCTTCNCTTTGGTCGGCCGGATCTTCTGCATCGGGTAAGTCTTGATTGTTCCCTTTTTTGATACGTCTTTGTTGTCATTTGTGTAGAGATTTAATTGAAATTTCTCTTTTAATTTACAAAGGGTACAAAGGGAAGGATTGAAACTGATCATTTGACCTTCTCGTATATCAAACATGGGACAAGTGTCAAGGATTGGGAGTTATATATGACCATTACTTTTACTGGAAAAGATGACGCTGAAATGAGCAGACCAGCACCATCTTTGGAGAGCCCGTGGAACTGACCTCGTTACCGTCACGCGCCACATTTGCGGTTTGACTGGTAGCATGGTGTCATGGGAGGCCAGGAGATAGGCAAGATTCTTTCTCTGGTCTTTCGAGTTGCGGGAGGAGCCGCCATTGGTGGAAGACTGCCACGTCGAATCGGGGAATGTCTGAGGTCCACCATGCGAGCCAATTCGGCCATGATGCTGGCGTCCACAATGGTGATGGAAAATTCCAGTCCAGCTAGCGGCCCAAGGATCAGCCGCACTTCCATCGTTTCTGGGACGTGCGTGGCGAATCTGGAGGGATTCATTCCCTTTTGAGGGGCTTAAGAGGTGACGTCAGAGATAGACTCGCGAGCACCAAGCTGATCTCCATTAAGATGAGCTCCAGCATCATGACGAACCACCTTTTGGAGGGCACATTGGACTATACAGTTTATACCTTACCCTAACCCTTTTCCAGGAACCACTCCACGGGAGACTTGAGGACCATCAGCATCATCCCCTTCTACCGACAAACCCCGGGAGATTCGAGAACCCTTCTAAATTCTCCAACAGTGTTTTACTTAGGTTTGTCGTACGGTGGGAATCAGTCCTGTTTCTTCATGATGTATCATGATGTCGTCGAAGGAGAAAGCAACCGAAATGCAGTTATTTTCGAACGCTGCCGAAAGCATAATTTCGCTAGAAAGAAGGAAAAAGTCACAATCTGAACTGAATAGCAGGAATCGGTTGTGGACATGGAGGCTGAAGCAAATTCCTTGTTTGAGTTTTCGTCCGTTGAATGGGCATGATGTCAGATGTGGGGCGACGAAAATTTTCTGTCATTCATCCAACACCCAGCCGCTGAGATGCAGGCCGAGCAGGGAATCGCACCTTTCGGATGTACCCCTTTCGCGATTTTTGAGACGCGACACGGTTAATCGAAATCATGAATGCAGGGAATCATAGTCCCTAATAGAACTCTAGCAGCCATCCACGTACGACGAGACGCTATCGAAGCAGGTATGGGAAAAGAGAGCTGGTGCAACGTGTGCCTGTTCCCGAACACGAGACCCCTTTATTCATCGATTCATTTTATTACCATGAGCAAATGCGTTCCTCATAAAATGAGAAATCGATTCTCATGATACGAATCATTGTTCTTTCTTTCTCGTATCCATGGTGCGTTTCGACACCGCTCGTTTCCATGCGACAGGTTCCCGCTTAATGAGGAGCATCAATCTTCGCGGTTGGAATTCCCTTCCCTATGCAACCAGCCGGTCGAGGTGGGGAAAACGAGCACCAGGATATCATCATCGAATGGGAGGCGCCATGGAAGAGTTCTAGCCACACGTGGCTGCATAGGATTACACGTGGCATGAGTGATTTGTACGTAGTGCGCTGCGACGACCGACAGGAATCTAGTGTCATTTGGAACTGGATGGGACGAGAGATTCTCGGGAAAGAATGCTCGACCATCACAGAAAAGGAAGGCTTCGGAAAGAAAAATCCTTGGGCAAGGGATACTTCCAAGACGCTGACCAGGAAAATCGTGGTCCCTCGTGCAGCCAGTCCCATTCCAAATACCAAATTCGATCGTCTCGAAAGTCCGAACGACGAGCTAATAGTAGGTACACCATCGATTCGAGAGGCTGGAAATTACGTCACTTCGGTTCGATAGGAACGAATTCCATCCGATTGAGTTTGCTTACAGGAGGAACATATGGTCAAGGCGAATCACCGAAATCGAGGATTCTTGAAGATTCGCATGCTCGTCATGCGATCAAGACGGAAGTTGCAGCTTCTTCTTCCGTCTGCAGCCTTGGCAAGTACGTTTCGGAGCAGATGTAAGAAATTCCTATCTCTGCTTTTTTTTCGCAGAAAGAAAAACCTCAGAAAATGTTCAAGGAAAAAAAAAATCGTTTGGATTAAAAAACCAGATTCAGAGCATGAAAATAAGTGTACTCTCGCAGGCTATTAGGGCGATTCCCATGGAATCAGCGATGGTTGAATTCTGGGTTTGAAATTCCGGAATCGCGCCATATCTTGCACCGATCGGAAATTTCATCTGGAAGCCATTCCGTTCACATCCAAGCTGACTCGGCGTGCTTTCTCCCAGGACTCTGCATTTTCCTCCATTTCATGACGTCGGCACCAGGAAAAACTCCGAAGCCATCGTTTCGCCCCAGACATCCAATTACTCGTATATCCAGATGCATGGAAAATTAAACGCACCATTAATGAGCCGATTCCCAAGACATCCATGCGAGGGATCCCATGACCTGTACAAGGGCACTCTGGACTATATATATATATATATATATATGAAAAGAATATCCCTTCGGGATAACTTAATCAGGACAACCCAGGTGCTGGGAGCGATAGCCGACAACCACAGACACCTTTACTAACTCTACTAACTTAAGCTGTGGAAGCTTTTTGTTACTCCTGTTGCGGCAGCCACTGTCCTCCTTCTTAATGATCATTCCCTGGTGTGGAGAAGTCGAAAAGGGTTTTACTACACTGCAAGTTGTTTGGTAGGATCGTG